CTTTATAAAGATATATGCCTCCATGCTCCGAGGGCCGGTTCCTACCTCAAACCTTGCCCTTACCAGAAACAGCTCGGTGAGGGCGCAGCCCTTGGCAACGTGACCCAGGACTCAGTGTGGCCACGCTCTGAGGGCGGGTTCCTGCCTGAAACCTCACCGCCCTTGCGGAAAACAGCTCGGGGAGGGTGCAGCCATTTCCAAGACGACCCCTGCAGGATTGACTTCCTTCTGGTTGATTGAGCCTCGGTCGTGACGTTACACCCAGGGTTTTTATATAAATAGAAGATAGTTTTGTTTTATTTTGGAATTAGGAGCCATTGTGTTCCCTAAGGACCTGCTACTGCTTTAGGGGAAAAGAAGTTAATGGAAAAGGAAATAAGTCCAAACAAATGTTACCTTTGTACTATAGACCTATTCACTCCTCTTTTTTTAGAGATACACATCTACTTTTCCTGTTTGTACTCGACTAGTACTACTGTCCACAGGGCTGGACAACCTGAAATGCCTATTCTTTTAACTTTATCATAATTTGAATTTACTATTCTGGTAAATACAATATAGAATACCTAACATAATATGGAAGGTAGAGAACAATAAATACTTGATTTTCTAACATATGTAACTCAAAATGGGAGGTCATATTTGCTAAATACTACAGATTGTTATCATAGTGTTAACGTAAGAAACATTCAAACCTGTGAAGAATTTTTGTGAGTTTATTTGAGCCAAATTGTCGACAAATACTATGAAGCAGAATCTCAACACATTGAGTTTATGCTCTGGAGAAGTGCAGTTTTTCACTTACTTTATACATTAAAAACAAAAGAGGAGATGTAAGTGGGTTACTTGAAATCCATTGGTGATTTGTTAGGGATGTAGGAGAAGGCAAAGTGGGGAAACCTCTGGGATTGGATAAAAAGTAAAATGATAGACAGTACATCTTTTACTTAGGTGGGCACAGGATAGCTAACAGTCAAAAATTAACTCAATAAGAATGAGGGGATTTGCAGTCTCTGCAAAGGCGTATCTGTGCTTTGAGAAGTCCAGAAAAAGAAAAATTACTTTGATATTCCAACAATAATTTATCGTAGATGCAAAATGACAATAGACAGGTTCAGGTAAGGTAAAGATTGACCTTTGTCAGGGAAGATACCGGCCAAGGACATGACTACCCACCATAAACTTTTTTAGTTAACTTCAGACCGTACTTCGTGGTTACTTTAGGTCTCTGAGTTTGCAAGGCTGCCAGACAGGCCCTGAGCTTGTCAGGTTAGCATGTGGCCCCTTTTTGTCCACAATAGAGTATGTATACTTTGATCTATATCTGTATTTTTTTTTTAAGAAATTTTTCTTTATTGTTGAAATAAAGAAAACCCCTCTTCCTCACAGGCCTTCACTGCACTATTGTCTGTGTTCATAGGTTATGCATATCCTATATAATAAAAGACAAATACGCACATTGTTCCCTTGACCCGGAGTTTGACCAGAGGGCAGGGCCGGCCAGCCAACCACGTGAAGCCCCTCCCCCTGGCCAGCTCAGCTGGATCTGCCCATTTGGGGCAAGCCGGCTGGACTCCACCCATGCACAAATTCGTGCACCGGGCCTCTAGTATGCATAGAAATTCTTTGGTTAATCTCTGCCCATCTCTTCCTTCCCCCATATCTGTTCTTAGTGGCAACTGCAAGTTGAACAGTCTACAAAAGACAAAAAGAAAAGTTGCAATATTTTGAAAATAAAATCTGTTATCTTGTTATCAAGAAATATGAAAAAGTAAATATAAATAGGTAAATAAGTAATAGCTGTAGATCTTTAGCCAGTGTTATGATGAACTTTGATTCAATGGCATAGCCTTCTGGCTTTAATTACAGAGCTCCTGCAAGGCTTCTGAGTGTCTTTGTTGTTAACCTTTTATTTGGAAATAATTTCAAACTACAAAAATTGCTCAAATAAAAATGGTCTCTCCCCAACCCTTATACACCCAAATTTACATACTGAAACCTCCTGCTTGCTTTATCATCTGAGTGCCTCTTTCTCTCTTTCCCTTCCCCTCACCCCTCATACACACTTTTTTCTTGAAACATTTAAAAATATATTAGATCTCCATCATGGTCCTTTACCATTAAATACTTCCTAATAGAGACATTCTCTTACATAATCACAGTACAGTTATCAACTTCATAAATTTATATTGATATTTTAATCTACCATTCATATTCTTATTTAATCAGTTGACCTAATAATGTCTTTTGTAGCATCTTCCATCTCGGTACATCTTGTCATCCAGACTTTGTCTTTTATGATGTTGACATTTTTGAAGAATACAGTCTCTCTGCCCTTTTATTTAAGAACTAGAGGCCCAGTGCACAAAATTTGTGCACTCGGGGGGTGGGGGGGTCTCTCAGCACGGCCTGTGCCCTCTTGCAGTCTGGGAGCCCTTGGAGGATGTCCAACTGACCACTTAGGCCTGCTCCCCATAGGAATGCTGTGGAGGTGGGAGAGGCTCCCGTCACCACTGCTGCACTTGCCAGATGTGAGCCCAGCTTCTAGCTGAGTGGCGCTCCCCCTGTGGGTGCTCCCCTGGCTTCTAGCTGAGCAGCATTCCTCCTGCATTGAGCATCTGCCCCCTGGTAGTCAGTGTGCGTCATAGAGACTGGTCATTCCACCGCTGGGCCGAAACCGGCTCTCCGACATCCCCCAAGGGGTCCCGGATTGTGAGAGGGTGCAGGCCAGGCCAAGGAACCCCACCAGTGCACAATCAGGGCCGGGGAGGGATGCAGAAGGTTGGCCAGCCAGGGAGGGATCGTGAGAGGGCTCCAGGGTGTGTCCGGCCTGTATCGTTCAGTCCCGATCGCCCGGACCCAGCAGCAAGCTAACCTACCAGTCAGAGCGTCTGCCCCCTGGTGGTCAGTGCACGTCATAGCAAGCAGTTGAGTGGCCTTAGCATATCATTAGCATATTATGCTTTGGTTGAATGGCCAACTGGATGACCGGACACTTAGCATATTAGGCTTTTATTATATAGTATTGAAATTTCCTCCTTCTGTGCTTGTCTGGTGTTTCTTGTGCTCAGATGCAGCTTGTGTATACTTGGTGAGGATTCTGCATAGGTGATGGATGTGTCCTCCCCTTAGAGCAGTGGTTGGCAAACTGTGGCTCGTGAGCCACATGCGACTCTTTGGCCCCTTGAGTGTGGTTCTTCCACAAAATACCACGTGCGGGCGCGCACATACAGTGCGATTGAAACTTCGCGGCCCATGCGCAGAAGTCAGTATTTCGTGGAAGAGCCACACTCAAGGGGCCAAAGAGCCGCATGTGGATCGCGAGCTACAGTTTGCCGACCACTGCCTTAGGGCATCAGTCTATCATTCAGGGATGTTATTAATTTTGGTCACTAGTCAAGGTATTGTCTGAACTCTTCCCTATATAATTACTGTTTATGAAATTCTTGTAAATAATAAGCAGTGTGTGGGGAATACTTTAAGACCATTCAAATATCCTGCTTCTCATCAAAATTTTCACCTAGATTTAACTCCATTGCTGATTTTTGACCTGATTCAGTCTTTACTATGATGATACAAAATGCTAATTTTTCCAACTGCAGCCCTCCTTTCATATTTACCAGTAGAAACTTGGCATTTTATTGCAATAAGAGTCTTCCCTTTCCCCCATATATTATTTATTTTATGTATTTATTATGAGTATGGACTTGTGAATTCCTTTTTCCCTAATGATTAATAATTTAGTAGTTAATTATTTTGGTATTTAAACTCTTCCCAATGTTGTTGGTGGCATGCTCCCATCCTTTTTTTTTTTTTTTTTTTAGTTAAATTACATTCGTTCTTTCTAGAATAATCCGATGTTAAAGGCTGATCTTTTATCTACCCTGCCAGTCCTGGTATCAACCACTTGTGTGAGAAGCCTTGGTTCCTTTGGTGGGGATTAGAATTAGATAACAAAATCTGGGCACTAGATTTGAGTGCATTATTTTTACAGCCACTTTATAAACAAATGTAATAACATAAGCATACCTGGTAAATATTTCTTAGAAGTACAATAAGCACTTTTTGAGGATGTAATGGTGTCTCAGTTTGTAGTACAGCAATAAGTTAAATACAGTTCGCTCTCCTTATGATGGGCACTTGCACCTTAAGTCCTTCTTGGTAAAGGGTGTGCCCCAGAAATAAGCATGGTTAACTTTCAGGTTTAGGTTTTGCTCAAATATTGCATTCTCAGCAGGGTCTACCCTTAACTCCTCACTGAGGCTCTTCCCCCTCCTACATGCACATTTTCCAGTCCCCTTTATCTTATTCTATTTTTGCCTTCTGGTATTTATCACCTAAATTACCTTATAATTATTCATTACTTTGTCTGCCGACACTAGAGTTTGAGCTCCAGAATGGCAGAGATTGTTTTTATTTTATTATTATTTCTTTCGCTCATTGGTCTCATCTGTCATAAGCAACAGAATAGTATTTGGCACATAGTAGGCCCTCAGTAAACATTGTTAAAGAGGAAGGACAACTGAGAACATAAAATCAGTAAGTTACCAGGCTTCTAGCACACAGCTCACTTGAGAAAGTAAGTACAAGAAAGGATGGGCTACTGCGTGAATCAACTTGTGTTCTTGGATCTGAGCCTTTGACTGCAATTGGCCTGGATAAAATAGGCCTGGAAAGTACTGCATATGCTGTCCCCTCGCTAGAAAATCTACATTAGCATGTTAATCACTATAAGAACCCCTGTAGTAACCTCTTCTTGAACTCACTTGATCACAGAACTCTCTTGGGTAACTCACATATCATAAGGACACTCCTGGCAAACAGTTGGAGAAAAAGCATACTGGAGAACTGCATGGAGGCCCCTGGAGAGGTGGCAGTTCTTTTTAGCTGCTTCTGTTTGTCGGTGAGCTGTGCTGCTTGAGAAGGAAGCTAGAGTCCCTCCAGCTCGTAGTTACTCCTCTTACAGTGAAGGTCTTTTTCAAACGTAACTTTTATTTTAGGTTTTCGGGAATAAGATGATCATTCCTTCCCTGGATGGAGACCTCTTCCAGTGGGACCGAGACCGTGAGAGCATGGAAACAGTTCCTTTTACAGTTGAATCACTTCTTGAATCTTCTTACAAATTTGGAGATGATGTTGTTTTGGTTGGAGGGAAGTCTCTCACTACCTATGGGCTCAGTGCATGTACTGGAAAGGTGAGTGAAAATACTGAATTTACTTGGGGAGAAATCAGAATAAATTATAATAGAAGTAGTTTCTTAAACTATACTATTACTGTTTGAGGTTTATTAAAATTTTCCCCAAGGATATCATTTGGTGTAATAAAAGAACTATATATAAAGTGGAACGGGGAAATATTATTAAGAGAAACTAGCTTTATCCAAGATAACAGAATGAACAGCAGACCCAGGACAGCAGAAGAAAGACAACAGGTTCTTCTCTGTGGTGGTGCACTTATTGCACATTATTTTGAAATCCTCACAGTATTCCTAAGGGTTACATATTTTTGTTTCCATTTGGATGGATGAAGAACCCTCCAAAGATTAATAATCATAATAAGAATAATATACCACTTATTTCTTTATCTAGTTTGATCCTATAATAAGAGGATCCAAGAAGAAAGTTGTACTTATGTTAAAGTTGAGAAAACTGAGACTTTAAAAGGGTCAGAAACTTTCAAGGTCAGATTTGACTTGATCTGTCTGGTGACAGTCATGCTGATAAGCCCTAGACTTTGTCCGTTATTAGCTCTTAGGATGTGATCACAATCTGCTTCTAAAATTGCATCTTGCGCCCTAGCTGGTTTGACTCAGTGATAGAGCATCAGCCTGCAGACTGAAGTGTCCCAGGTTCGATTCCCATCAAGGGCACATGCCTGGTTGCGGGCTGGATCCCCAGTAGGGGGCGTGCAGGAAGCAGCTGATCAGTGATGCTCTCTCATCATTGATGTTTCTACCTCTCTGTTCCTCTCCCTTCCTATCTGAAATAAAAAATATATATATTAAAAAAAATAAAAATAAAATAAAATTGCGTCTTGCAATTAAAATCCATTATTAGGAATGACCAATTAAAAACATCTTTTTTAGGAAGGTAAAATCTTTTTTTAATCCCTAACACCTTGGTATGTGACTGTCTTATATATAGACTTAAGACTAAAACAAGGAAAAATAGAAAAATTATCTTTTGACCCTTGAGTTTTTCATACTTGAGCGATTCCCTGTGTAAGTGTTAGGTCCGTAGTACTTCTGCAGATGCTTTCTACTTCACCTCCTGATACTGTAGTGCATTGAGAAGGCCTTGAGTCCTCTGTGTATTTCAGTGTTCCCTGTAAACACTGCCATGAACCAGATCCTCAGGTCTCTGATTTGATGTGCTTCCACAAAATTCTGGTATTCTGGTAGGTATGCTTTTTTCTGTTAGGATTTTAGTTTGGTTCATACTAAGATTTTTCCTTTTTCTTTTAATGAAGATTTGAAGGAAGTACTTTGAAATACTGCAGCTATTAGAAGAGGTTCAAATTTTTAAAAACCAACTACTTCTGTAATATGGAAACTCTGAGGTTGATATTTTTTAATTCATCTGAAATTGTATTGATGTTGTTAAGATATCAAAACTGGTTACCCATTTCTTTTTATTTTTTATTATTTATTTATTTATTTTACCCATTTCTTTTTGTATATTCCATGGAATGCTCCAAGTAAGACTAAAATTATCTAAGTCCTTAAAATCATTCCCTGGAATATTCATTGCTGCTTTTATGATTCTAAATAACTAATTTTAGGAGTTGGTAATCTACGATGCTTCTTAATATTTGGGTGCTTCTTCCATACTTTTCTTTTTAAAAAAATATAAAATAGAGATTCTTTTAATGGCTCTGGCCTCCTGTAACTTGTATTTTTTAAAACTAATTTTAAAAAATATTTATATTAGGCAGAGCTGCCTCAAACAGATTGTCAAACTGCAGCGGGAAGGCCGGGGAGGGTTGGGGGGCAGGAGGGAGGGGTTAAGAGATCAACCGAAGGACTTGTATGCATGCATATAAGCATAACCAATGGACATAAGACACTGGGGGGTAGGGGAGGCCAGGGGATTGTCAAGGGCGGGGAAAAAAAGGAGACATATGTAATACTCTTTGTAATACTTTAAGCAATAAAAAAAAAGATTAAAAAATATTTTTATTTATTTCAGAGAGGAAGGGAGAGGGAGAGAGAGATAGAAACATCAATGATGAGAGAGAATCATTGATCGGCTGCTTCCTGCATGCCCTCACTGGGGATTGAACCCGCAACCTGGGCATTTGCCCTTTACTGGATTCAAACCCGAGACACTCCAGTCCACAGGCCGACACTGTATCCACTGAGCCAAACCAGTTAGGGCTAAACTAATTTTATATGTTTTTTCAGGTGAGGTACATCTGTTCAGCATTGGGTTGTCGCCGATGGGATAATGATGAAATGGAACAAGAAGACATCCTGCTTCTGCAACGCACCCAGAAAACTGTTAGAGCTGTCGGGCCTCGCAGTGGCAATGAGAAGTGTGTATTCAGATCATGTAGCTGCTAGTGTTATTTAGAACCACACCAAGACTAAAACTATTCAGATTTTTCTTTGAAGATTTTTTTGAACTCTTTTGGTTCCTTAGAAGCATACTATTCTTTTAAGAAAAATGTAAGCCCTAAATTAAAAATGGCCTCATGATGATTAACAAATTCTGTACTGGGCTTCTCTCCATATGCTTCAGGATATGGTAACTAGAAGGAGTCTCATACGATGATGATATATGAGTTTAGTTTTAGGTTAATGATAATTTTCAGAGCAAGCTTACTGATCAACATTTTTTCAATGCAAAAGTCTCAAGAGAAAGTTAATGTGCTTTATTTCAGCCCTGACCATTTTTACTGAGTTCTCTCTGTTATGTATAGTTTCATAGTTTTTCTGATTACCCCGATTTTAAAATAATATTTTAGTCTATTTTCTTCTTATAGTATGAAGATATAATTTATTTGGTCAAAAAAAATTTTTTTTTTCAAATAATGAATTCCTTATATAATTTTTACTTTTAAATATGTGATTAAAAATAAGATGGTTGGATAAGTTGTGCTGTTCTTAAATTACATGTGTGATTTTTAAAAACCTAATATTTATTTTTTAATATTTTTTATTGATTTCAGAGAGGAAGGGAGAGATAGAAACATCAATGATGAGAGAGAATCATTGATTGGCTGCCTCCTGCACACCCCCAACTGGGGATTGAGCCCACAACCTGGGCATGTGCCCTTGACTGGAATTGAATCTGGGACTCTTCAGTCCACAGGCTGACCCCCTATCCACTGAGCCAAACCAGCTAGGCCTAAAAACCTAATATTTAAATGTTAAATTGCCTTTATAGTAATAATAATTTTTGATCCCATTTTTATCTTTGGAAAGTGAGCCAGATTTTTGTTTCTTTTTTTTTTTCTTGTTTTGTTAATCTTCACCTGAGGATATTTTCCCATTGATTTTTAGGGAGCATGGAAGAGAGAGGGAAAGAGAGAAACATCGATGTGAGACATCAATTGGTTACCTCCCGCACTAGCCCTGACCAGGGCCCGGGTCAGGGAGGAGCCTGTAACCAAGGTACATGCCCTTGGTAGGAATCGAACCTGGGACCCTTTGATCTGCAGGCCAACACTATATCCACTGAGCCAAACCAACTAGGGCTAATCCAGACTTTCAAATTTATGTATGATGCAGTACAATTCATTTTCCTTTCCTGAAAGTTGTTTTCTCTAACTCATTTAAGAAAGCATTTTTAAACATTTTATTTTCTTACATTCACTGGACTGTGAGTAACGTTTTATATCTGCTGGCAACCTAACCTTTTGTATTCTTGATAGGATTTTGCTTTATTATTATTATTTTTTAAGTGCTCGAGTGCTTGTCGGTTGCTCAACTACCATAGGAACAGATGTTCAAATTAATTAGAATTTTGAGTCACTATAAAGGAAGAGCCTGGGGGGTCTAAGACCTATGTTCCTTAAGTATATATATTTTTAGTAGATGTAATTTTAAGGCCATTTTATATGTAAGTGACAAGATATTATACTGTTAATAGTTAAGTGATTTTTCTGTAAATTAAATATAGAGGGAATATTAATTATTATCACTTTATGGATAAGGACATTGAAACTTAGGAAAGGGTAAGTGACTTGCCAGCTCTCAGTCAATAGAGATTGGAGGTAAGGTGTGTGACCTTCAGGTATACTTGGTCACATTGCCTTCAGGACATGTTTTCACATAAATTTAAAATTGATGTATTCATCTTGCCTTTTACATTGGCTTATTGGGAGATACTAATTTCTCTACACTTGAGTGAAATGTGCCCAGACTTGAATTAAGAAGTAAGTCCGACTGCATGCTGCTATCCCATTTTAAGATGACTTTGATGTGTTTTAAGAAAATCATCCTGATTTGGAATTGTGAACATTTGTTAATTTTTGAGAGAAAATCTGTCCCATAGCTGATGTCAGCTCACAACTTTCCAAACCCTGACAAAGTTATGCCCTCTTGTGGCATATATTAGCAGCGCTTCTTTCCTGAAGATTGTGTTGAGTTCCTTTTCTCATCACCAAATCTTAATGTTTGCTATTTCCCTGTAGAAAAGTTATTTATTTGGCTCCCTCTTTTCAAGTGTAAATTTCTAAAACATGCATTTGTAAATTTAAGGTGGAATTTCAGTGTTGGCCACTTTGAACTTCGGTATATTCCAGACATGGAAACTAGAGCTGGATTTATTGAGAGCACTGTAAAACCCAGTCAGAACAAAGAGTCTGAAATTATCTCAGATGTGGAAGAACAGGAAGCTGCCATAGTGGACACAGTGATAAAAGTCTCTGTTGCGGATTGGAAGGTTATGGCCTTTAGCAAGAAGGGAGGACATCTAGAATGGGAATATCAGGTAACTAAAACCACTGAGAATTTATGAACTGTTTCTTCCTTTTTCAGTTTGACCAAACATATGGGGTAGTGGGAAACGATGCCAATTTGGATTTTATCTTGTTCTCTATGCATTAAGAAATTTGTGGTTTTATACCTGTTAGAATGGCTATTATGAAAAAGACAAAAGAGAGTTATTGGTGAATGGTGTATAACAGTGTATCTATGTGCACTGTTGGTGAGAATGTAAATTGGTGCAGCCACTGTGGAAAACAGTATGTAACTTCCTCAAAAATAGACCTGCCACATGATCCAGCAATCCCACTTCTGGGTATATTACCAAAGGAAGTGAAAGCAACATCCCAAGGAAATATTTGCACTCTCATGTTCACTATAGCATTATTCACAGTAGCCCAGATATAGAATCAGTCTAAGTGTCCATTATTGGATGGATGGGTAAAGGAAATGTGGTGTGTATTTTTACAGTGGAATATTATCCAGCCTTAATAAAGGGAATCCTGTCATTTGCAACATTAACACGTTAAGTGCCCAGCCTGTTTTGTCTTCCGGATGGAAAGTATAGTGTCAGTCACCAGTGACTGACTGGGCACTTAATGTGTTAATGAATCTGGAGGGCATTATGCCAAGTGAAATGAACCAGACACAGAAAGTTAAATACTGCATCATTTCACCTATATGTGGAATCTAAAAAAGTTGAAATTATAGAAGCAGAGAGTAGATTGTGATTGCCATGGCCTAGGGGAAGGAGAAATGGGGAGGTGTTGGTCAAGGGTACAGAGTTTCAGTTATGTAGGATGACTAAATTCTGGAGATGTAATGTATAGCATGATGATGAGTGTAGTTGGTAATTCTGTATTGTATACTTGAAATTTACAAGAGTATAGATTTTTTAAGAAAAAACTTTCTAGCTTTATTGAGTATAATTGACAAGTAAAAATTATCTATTTGGTTTGTACATTGTGCTGATTTGATATACATACACATTGTGAAATTATTACCACACTTACAAAATAACTGTGTGAGGTGATAGGTGTTTTAATTAGCTAAATTGTGCTAATCATTTCACAGTGTATACATATATCAAAATATCACATTTTGCTCTCCATATACATTTTTGTCATTTATGCCTCAATAAATCTAGAAAAATAAGAAATTTAAAACAAATTTGTGATTGTAAATAGTATTTTAGAAGTTGGAATACATAAAGAATGCTTCAAATTATTTTAAACTTTTTTTTCACTTTTGTTTAGTTTTGTACTCCCATTGCGTCTGCCTGGTTGGTGAAGGATGGCAAAGTCATTCCCATCAGTCTTTTTGATGATACAAGATATGCATCTAATGATGGTGTTTTAGAAGATGAAGAAGACATTGTAGAAGCTGCCCGAGGAGCCACAGAAAACAGTGTTTATTTGGGTGAGTGTCTCTCATCTAGTGATAATACAAATTGATATCTAGATTTGATTCCTACACTGTGCTGATAGTGATTTTAATTCCTAAGTACAGTCTCTGCCTTAGGTTGCCCTGAGATTTTTACTTTGGTTTTCATTCATGCTATTTTGTTTCACTTAACCCAGCGGTTCTCAACCTGTGGATCGCGACCCCTTTGGGGGTCGAACGACCCTTTCATAGGGGTCGCCTAAATGCATCCTGCATGTCAGATATTTACATTATGATTCATAACAGTAGCAAAATTACAGTTATGAAGTAGCAACGAAAATAATTTTATGGTTGGGGGTCACCACAACATGAGGAACTGTATTAAAGGGGAGCGCATTAGGAAGGTTGAGAACCACTGACTTAACCAGTTCTGAAACTTTTAATTGCTATAGCTTTTTTTTCTCTCTAAAACCTATAGGAAGGCTTAGAAATGTTGCATATATATATACATATATATACATATGTGTATGTGTGTTTGTGTGTATATGTGTGTGTGTGTGTGTGTATCTACACTAATAAAAGAGAAACATGGTAATTAGCGTACGACCGCTACCCTTCCCATTGGCTAATCAGCATATCCTTATGCAAATTAACTGTCAGCCAAGATGGCGGCCGGCAGCCATGCACTGAAGCGAGCAGGGAGGCTTGCTTTCTCCAGTGACTGCGAACTCCAACGTTCCCCGCCTAACTTGCCGGCCTCTCAGCTGCAACTCTAAGCAACTATGTACTATGTTGCAAATAAGAAGCTAAACAAAACCCCAGAAACCAGCTGTCAGTCAGCCAGGTTCAGCCAGCCGACTGCAACATTGTATCGATGTTTTCAGCAGCGAGGCCTCAGAGCTAAAGCTGGCCCAGAATTAAAAAAAAAAAAAAAGAAAACAAGGAGCGGTTGGGAGCTTCAGTCACTCGCCAACCGGAAAACAGCCCTCAGCCCCTCAGCCAGCCTGGCCAGACACCCCAGTGGGGACCCCCACCCTGATCCAGGACACCCTTCAGGGCAAACCAGCCAGCCCCTACCCATGCACCAGGCCTCTATCCTATATAGTAAAAGGGTAATATGCCTCCCGGCACCGGGATCAGTGGAGCAGCGAGGCTCCCAGCACTGGGATCAGCATGACAGGGGGCAGCACCCAAACCCCCTGATTGCCCTGCGGCTCTGTGTGTGACAGGGGAAGGCGCCCCAACCCCCGCCCCCCCACGGGCCCTGCTCTGTGTGTGACAGGGTAGAGCCATAACCTCTCCATCGGCCCTGCCCTGAGTGTGACTGGGTGCAGCGCCCCAACCCCCTGATCCGCCCTGCTCTGTGTGTGACAGGGGGCGGTGCCCCAACCCCCCTGATGGGCCCTGCCCTGAGTGTGACAGGGTGCAGCGCCCCAACCCCCTGATTGGCCCTGCTCTGTGCGTGACAGGGTGCAGCGCCCCAACCCCCTGATCCGCCCTGCTCTGTGTGTGACAGGGGGCGGTGCCCCAACCCCCCTGATGGGCCCTGCCCTGAGTGTGACAGGGTGCAGCGCCCCAACCCCCTGATTGGCCCTGCTCTGTGCGTGACAGGGGGGA